CTCAGTTTTGGATCAGTTCTTAGTAAATCCATGTGGACAGCTGAACTCCAGCCTGACGTCTTSTTTTTATTCTATCTGAGCTGCGACTGTTGGACGGTGATGTCAGCTCTTCTCCTATTGGCTGTTGTAGCAGTAGCTGAATGACATCATCATCTGTTTGTATCATTGTTCAGGTTTAATCATAAAAAACAAAACTAAATATCTGTTTCTAACGTCTGTCAGCTCTGCTCCACCCTCAGAGTTCTTTAGACTCACTTCATCTTGAGATCAGCTGCTCCTCTGACTGCAGCTGGAGGGACACTGGTCCAGGACATGGGSGTGTCCAAATGTCTCTGATCAGTCCAGAAAGCATCACCAGACTGGCAGCGCTGCTGATGGAGACCAGGTACCAGGGTCTCTAAAATGTCTCCTGACACTCGTGAGGGTCTACATCAGAGCTGGGTGGTCTCAGTCAGAACATTCACACATCAACTTTTCTCCTCAAATGATGAAAGTTTGGCAGGAATCTATGGGATAAATCTTGTGCCAGCAGGAACYGAATTTGAATTGCTCAGATTTAATCTGTATGTGCATAATTTGAAACTGAATTTAATGGTTTGTATCTGAATTAATTGGCTTTGAAACTGTATTTTGGTTGGTCATAGATCAGTCAGCAGCAGCATCTGATCAATATGTGATCCATGATGTCATCATGTAAATGTAACATTTTCTACATRTAGGTCAAATTAATCACTGCARTAAAATAASTTTGTGTGTTTTTGTCACTTTTACAGTGGATTGCATCAACTCTGTTACATCCAGAAGGGAAACTTCACCAAAGTGAAACATAAATCTGTGGATCTGTGTTTGAGTACTCTGCCTGGCTTTCTCAAGGACCAGGATGTGACACAAACATCTGAATTATGGAACTGAAAGTGAAAGTAGTCAAACTGAATTTTTAATAAACCAAAATACAGTTTCAAAGAAAATTAATTCAAATKAATTTCAAAACAATGCATTCAATTTTAAATTCTGCACATTCAGATTCAATCTGAGTAATTCARATTCAGTTCCTGCTGGCACAAGATTKATCCCATAGCAGGGTTCCTTTTCTTCAGACTCCAGGTTGGAGAAAACAGTCGCAGCCCAGAAAGACGTTAGTTTTGTTTTCCTGTTTGAGGACAGCTGGTGGACATGTCTGCTCATGGACTAAATGCTCAGAGCTCAGGATGGAGCAGCTGATCAGATATGGAGTAACCTATGCAACACAGCTAAAGTTAGCTTAAAGCTAACGGCTGTGTGGGTGCGGAGGCTGAAGGAGAACATCTGCACGTCTGTTTTGTGACGAGGAGCTCCCAGGTTGGGCTCAGAGTCTGGTGTTTGTGGCTCACAGGTCTTAGATGCTTCTTGAACATACTTTGTGCCTTGCTCTGCTCTTCCTGCGTCTGTTCTTCACAAACGTCTCTCCCAGCTCGTAACAATCAGCAGAAGAAAAGAAGTCGGGTGTTTCTGTGTGGAACAGGAAGTGTTCAGGTGTCAGACCTCRCTGTAAAAAGAGGAATGCTTGGTGTTTTTCTGTCTTTGTGACTTTTTGTGATGTGGTTTTTCCTTCTTCCTTGTATCTCTGATCAAAGCTCGACTGCATGGTTCCTGCTAACAACTGTGACAAATAAACTTCATTTACTGCAAAACTCTCCTTTCTCAAACTTTTATTCTGGTACTTCCTGTGTTTTTGGAGTGAAAGTATTTTCCTGTAATATCCAACAATCTATTTYAGTTTGCTTCTCTGGTTTTGGAGGTAGCAGGTCCAGGAGAACTACCAAGACCTCATCTTAGAGGATCCCAACATGTAGACCCTGAGGTTCTCAAACCAGACCCCCTTTTCCTTCATGACTGAGATCCTGAACATGAGGACCCTTAAACAGGATCAGAAGAGCCCTGGAGGGGTCAACCTGCACTAAGATGGACTCAGGTCCAGCTTTGGTATGGTGCATTATGAGGACCAAAACTAAGACTATTGTTCAACCAGCAGTTGCTACATCCTTGAAGCAGGAGGTTATATTTATTCCTAATCCAGTTATTGATCTGATTAATGACAGGATAGCACCGCTAACTGAGAGGCTGGAGCTGCAAATGAGAAGGAGACTATTCATTTGAGTTCACATCAGAGTCTAGCAACTAGCATGGATAAGCTGGTGTTAGCATTGAAGAGGCTAGCGACTAGCATGCTGACATCTGCTGCTCAGTTAGCGGTGCTATCCTATCATTAATCAGATCAATAACTGGTTAGGAATAGATATCTGCTACAAGGATGTAGCAACTGCTGGTTGCTCAATAGTCTTAATTTTGGCCCTCATACTGCACCATAGTTTGGTTCTTTGTGGACCAGATAGACCTGCAGTGACCTCAATACTCTAAAGCTTTGCTGCACTACAGAATGTCTTGAGCGTTTAGTGTTTTTCTGCTTTTAACTTAGCTTTTTGTTATTTTAGCTTTTAGCTAGCATTTTGCTACTTCTAGTTTCTTGCCAGCCTTTTAAGATAATGTCAGAGCAGCTTCATGTTCCTCTGACCACAGATGACAAAGTTACTAAAGAGCAGAAGGTTTATGGAGCTGCAGCCAACCACACAGGACGTGGACGCAAGTGGAAATGCGACCCCGGGATGATCAAACGGTGTGGACAGTAGGAAAAGAGCTGAAGATTTCAAACSCTTAAAGCAGCAGGTACATCTCTGACCACACAACAGTCACGTTTTAAACCATGAAGACGACCCTGCTGACAGAGAAACAACAGATTTATTTACATCTGTGATGTTTTTTATTCCAGGAACAACTTCTCAGCCCATCAGAAACACATTATCAACAAGCCTTTGTTTCATCGTGCACAGGTTTATTTGTTGGCCCTCGTCRGCCTCTGAGCCGCTCAGACGACAGGTTTGAGCTGCAGACAAGATGAAGAACAATTTAATGTGATTGGACGTAATGATAAACACACTTTGAGAATATTATCAAGCGTTAAATAATGTTTACTTTAGGAGACGGAGGTCAGCTGCTGCCGCTGATGAGGCTTTGAGTGGCGCCAGACGATGATGAGGAGGACGGGCCGAGGAAGAGCAGCGACGTGGTGCTGAATGAAAGAAGAGCTGTTTGTTTGTCTGTGGCTCCTGGTGCAAATGAGTCTGTCACTGAATGAGACGACCGCTCACAATAACTCCAAAACCTGAATCAATCTGGGAAATAAAGATTTCTGCAAAACCTGCTGCTGCTTCCTGAAACACCAAACAACTTCTCTGAAGCTCAGGAAGAAGCAAAAAGTCCCTTTTTAAAAATCTAAGATGACAAATTTCTGATATTTAATATAGAAACTTTATAGATCTGCAGGACAGTGGTCCACCAAATCAGTTCAATTCAGTTTATTTATACTGTGTCAAGTCACAACACTGTTCACAAAAACTATAAAGAAGCAGCAGATTGTGTTGAATCTTCATCAGCCTCCATCCTGAGAAGGACCGGTCCAGGTGCGTTGTCCTCTGGAAGAATAATTCAGGAAACCTAAGTCTAACTATAGGATTTATGAAAAAGGAAAGTCTTCAGTCTAA